TCACATATACCCATGTCAGCATCACCAGAGATATTAAGAAACTTGACTAACTCAGCGGGAAGAAGTGCGTCTGGTGAGTGCAACTCAAAATCATCTGCAGTAGGAGGCCAAGGAAGTGGTTGTGACTGATTGAATGCTTGATTCATTTTAGTACAAAGAAGCTCGGCCACTTCATGGTACTTGTCTTTTGATCCAAGCTTATATGCATATGTCACTACATCTGCAACAGACATGTTGGTACTGTACACCAGGTTATAGGTGATACAGCCTTTGTCACCTGGATTGACCTTTGCAAAGGCAATTGATTTATAAATGTCATGGTTCTCAAGACAATCCTTTAGCTTCTCACTCCTATAAGCTGGATTAGCAATCCCATGTCTTTCCAACTCTTGTATGTAAAGAAGACACAGTGATGTTAGCTGCACAAGTACAGTATTGAAAGACTTGAGATGAGCATCAGTGATGCGACCTTGCTCTGTGTTGTACACATAGCGAGAGGATTGGGATTTATAACGCATGTCATTAACATACTGCAAATTGAATGACTTGCGACATGACTGGTGGGAATTTGCCTCTCGTGCAAACAAGTCTTCACCTTGCACCATCCGATGGAGACGGATATTCCCCACTTCTAGTGCTCTAGACTCTATCTGTTTCCAGATTGGTTCATAGAGGGTTCCACTCTTGTCCTTAAATACAGGGAATTTACTACATCGCTCAATTGTAGAAAAAAATATTGCTTTGAAATACCATGCTATTTGGTATAAATGTTACTAATTTGGTTATACAATCCAATCTATTACCTGATTTTATCACAACCAGCACCAGACTTGTTGTGTGCCTGTGGATTAATAGGTAGTGTGAATCCTAAAAAACTATCCTCTGTATTACAGAAACAAATTGGATATACACATGGTTACTGCAATAGAGGTGACTATTCAGTTTTGTTGACCCAATGAAAGAGGCTATGATCGCCTTGGTTGACAATGCAAAATTATACCACTTTAAATAAATGGAAAGGTTTATTTCGCCAAAATTGGAAAACTAATGTACTGAGAACAAAAACATGCCTTATTTCAACAAAAACTCACTGCACTTTGGATGCACAAAATCTACACGTGGATCGCATTAGATTGCGTGACAGTGAAATGTGTGAATCAGATATGCATATACTTAAATGACATGTTTATCATTGTTACTGGTCAGGTTGAATATATGTTACGATGCGGACATTTTATTGAAAATTATACACAGTTTGAAATAGTTATTGCAGGTGTCGTCTGGTAAATTTGACACTATTGAGTTGTATCTTTTATTGTGTAATTAGAACATTTTATAGATTATCAGACGAACATGACATGCAGTGAGTTGTGTGGATGTGCTTTTTGCATACACTATACTAACAGAGATAGCCGTAAAAGAGTTATGAAACTTATTTTGGCTCCTGAGTGAATGCGAGTATCACGTGATCACTTCGTGGAAGGGATGACGTCAGCGTAGTGAAGAGGACGAGGGGAACAATGGCTGCTCGTTAAGTGGAACCACGCCGTCCCGAGTTGACTGGTTGAAACGCGGCCTGAACCGATCAGCGCGACCAGAAAAGGCCATCGCCGATGGGACTGTGAGTTGAAGTCCCTGCTGAGTGACAGGTACATTTGTACCCGTGGGGCCTGAGTATTTCGAGTCGAACGACTAATAGAAGCAGTTGTGGGCGAGTGAAGTGAACTGGTTTTGTCAAGTTTGTGAAACTACTGTAAGCGCATGGGGCTACTTGAAAGTCAAAGGGACCTACGCTCCATCGCTACAGTTGTGAGGGTTTCGCCGTTGCTTTGATGTGATCGACGCCAGTATGCCATTGAGGGACTCGCCGCTACCGTAAGGAACTTGAAGATCAGGTTTGATACTCGTTATTGACTAACAAAAGTTAACTTTGTGCGAACTGTCATACGATTTCGAACAGTGATCAGTTCCGTTACTCACATGTACACGCGCGACTGGATGATTTTTGTGTGTTGAACCTTTGCGCTTGGAGGGACGTTTTTCGTTTGGCTTATTGTTAAAGTTAGCAATTTCGTGTGTTGTGCCCTACAAGACAGCAAAGATTGTGTGTACCTGACTGTGTGATGCTCGTCTGAAGTGAATATTAATTAGAGATTACATGTAATCAGTTAACTAGGGTTAGGGCTTTTACTGTTAGTATATTCATGGCATGTATAGTTTTATTAGGCTGTACGTTGTACTAAAGTTCATGCAGAATTTTATTGAGTTGTTGTACCAGTTAACTGTTGTTGTATTTACCTAACGAGAGATGTTCATAGCACTATAGTTATTGTTGTGTTTACGCTACATGTATATTGTTGGACATTGTGTATTTCTCTATTGAGTCGTACAACTTTAGTAATTATTGTGATGAACATTGCTGTTAATTCTGTCAACCGGAAGTAATTATTATTGTGTGTATTACTGCCAATCCATGCATTTGTAGTGTTTATTATCATACCATTGTTAGTTTATACTTCAGTGAGCGAGGTGCCAATTATTGTGTTATGTACAAACAATTATGTGTGCCCACTGTTGACCTTGGTTCACCTTTATAAATATTGAATAGATGTTGTTGTTTACTAGACTTGTCTGTGTCGTTAATTAATGGTGTGAATGTCTCCCTGATTATAATATTCGATGTACGTTGTTACCTCGGTTTACCACTGGACTGCCGAATTGTCTCGACCGGAGTAAGAGATCCCTGGTAGTTATTGTATAGATACCAGTTAGTTGCCCTTCATATAAATTTTCCCTATCTGTCCACCTGTGATTTGAGCTAATCTAGTTTTAGGCAACTTATGGGTGTGACACAGGTTTAAATGATTTTTTTTTTAAATCATACAAATAACATTCTCATTGAATTCCCCATGTCCAAATTAAATGGAAAAATGTATTTGTTTGTTTCTGTAGGATGACTAGTTCAATAGTTGTACCGATTATTGTTTTCTGTAAAAATGCAAGATGGCCGTCAAAATGGCCACCTAGTGACGTCATGGGACAAAATTTGGCAATGGGAACATCAAAATTCCTGTACTAGACATCCTGAGGATTCAAAAAATAAAAGTTAAAAAGTTAAAAAAATATATCATCGGGGTGCATGGGGACCCCTATTTCCTACTAGACTATTTTTGCAAACTTCGTATATGGGCCCATTTAGTTATAAACCGACGTTAGCTTCACGTTAATGTCACACTATAGAAACAACCAAAAATATGTTGCTTGTTTTTGAGCGGAGCGGATCGCCAACCAGCCTACTGGCTTGTAATTTCCAGTGTTTCACGTATTATTTTTTCTCTGATTTTTTTGGCTTGGCCAATTTCGCTCAAACTTGGCAGGTAGGTCACACCTTCACCCTAGTTATTAGGAAAAGTCTAAAAAAAAAAATTGGCCCACCGTTGCCATAGCAACAACCAAAAACTGTTTTTTTTTGGATAGCTTCGCGCCAAATGTATCTCCCCCTACAAATTTGGGATAACACACCTCAGACATAGCTCATTCTACTCAGCTTGAGTGTGGGCACAAAGTTCCTATTTGAATTTTTGATATCTTTTTTCATTACCGAGAAACTTGACCTCAAAGTTGGGATAACTTTTCACCAGCAACGGCTTTTAACTACTCTGTGTGTTTGTTTGTTTTTTTTGGCTTCGCTGATTTTGTTCATATTTGACAGGCAGGTCGTACCGTCACTAATTGAAAACAAATTCTGGCCCGCCACTGCCATGGCAACAACTTAATACGTTCGCCCCAAATTTATTACCTCCTACCAGTCTTGTAATAGCAGTACAGTGTTCATATGATCATGTTTATTTTTTATTTTTGCACCATTGCGCACTGGGAAGAGATCACCGGCGCCGACATTGTTACACTATATCAACGTAATCCCAACGCAACTTTGAATGAACTGTAAATGCTGCCTTCAATCCAGAAAATACTATTGCAAAACATTTGGAAATAAGAAATATAACAGCAGAATACGTCCTAGCAATAAAATAAAGTGACTTCTGAAGACTGAATGTTTTTTGCGAACTTCGTATACGGGGCTGGTTTTAGTTATAAAACGACGCCAGCTTCTCGTCCATGTCCTACTATGGCAACAGCCGAAAACATGTTTTATAAACTGGCTTGGCAATTCTCACCAACAATAAGACCATGTCACAGCATTTCGGCTACTTTTCCAACAAATCCAAAATCACTGGATAATTTTGTTTACTTTACATTTGTACTATGATTACAATTTAAGTTTTGATAATTTTAATGCATACATGTACACTCACAAAAATACCCCCAAAATAAGAGAATTTAGTATGATAGCCTTGACAAAAAAGAATTATTTTTCCTTGTCTTAATATTGCATTTTTTTCTATCTGTGTAACTTCATGTGGAAATCCTGATGAGATTTAAAGTTCAGTTTACAACTAACGGTTTTACAATATTATTGTGAACTTGTCCATGGAGGCTGCAAATTAATAAATATTGTATTTACTGACATTTATTTTGTATTTACATTTGCAATGAGTTCCACAGTATCTTTTTCTTACTGGCGTGGCTACAGTGACTGTATAGTGTTTTTGTTTTGTCGATTGTTGTCAGTTGATTGTTTTGTGTTCTTGGAATTTTGTACAAAAATCAACAACGGTTAAATAGGTATGTTATTTATAAACAAACAAACAAACAAATAACAAATAAACAAACACTGTAAAAATATAAAAGAAATGTTAGAAAAAATGTTAAATATTAAAAGTTTAATTTTTGTTTTCTGTTAAAATATCATTGATGAATTTTCCCAGGCTGTTGGTAATGAAACCATCATTTGAACTTAAAATTTGTTTGAACATGTTTTGTTCTGATAATGTTAGTAGACTATCATTATACAATGACAAAGTATTAATAAATTGTGTACGACTAGTTATTAACCTTTGGTTCTTACAAACCAATAATGCATATATTTCATCACCAATAGCCTTGTCTTCACACAAATTACAAATTCTTTCCTCTGGAGGAATGCCTTTGTATCTTAACCTTTCAATTGGCAGCGTATGAGCAGAGATTCTAAATTTGATTATACTTGTTCTATGACTAATATTTTTTACAAGTTCTAGATATGGCTCAAATTCATATTTTGATTTAAACGTCTTTTAAATGCGTAATTTATTATTTTCTATTTTTTGGAGGGCTGGTGTCGTATACGACTTATTTACCACTTCCGTGTCACTGAGAATGTTCTAGAACCGTACTGTGTCTGGGTGGAATATTCTAGATTTTGTTTAGAAAATGGTTGAATGGGTAATAGAACACTGTAGGAGGCAATAGAAGGTAATGGAACATTCTAGAAATTGGTAGTAAGTTCCAGACTCATTATGTATGCTGATGTAATGGTCTATTTATAGACAGTGGGGGTATATATAGGGGAGTTGTTCAGCACTGAGTTCAGATCGGAGATCTCGTTGAATTGTATTGGAGTTTAAGTATCTAGTTATTAGAGTAGTGGAGTTTTATCGCGTTATTGTACTTGTTTGTACTTGTACTTTATTGTACTTATTGTATGTTTGCAGAGTATAATAATACCAGTACCAGTTGAAACCTCATCTGTTGGCTCCGTGTTCGTGTTTTATCATCGCCAACAGGGAAGTCTTTCTGTAACTGTTGCCATTTTGGTATTTGAACCATCACACCTGTACTATACCAATTACGGTAATAATACGTTGCGTGTGA